ATATCTATATATATCTATAATATATATATATATTATAAAATTGTATTTGTGTACATTTCTTTTATAAAAACGTGTTTGAATAATTTTTATATAATACGGTTTTGTATACACTTTATATATAAACGTTTTGAATACAAATGCATTTGTTATAAAATAGGAGTTTAATATATATATATATATATATATCTATATATATATATATATATATATATATATATATATATATATTTCACAAAAGAATGTATACAAACACTTATTTGGGTGCATATAATTATGTTTTACTAAAGAAATGTATACGTTTACTATGAGATAGATGTATGTATATATTTCTTTTATAAATACGTGTTTGTATACAAGTGTATTTATAATAAAATAGGTGCTTGTATATATATATATATATATATATATATATATATATTATATATATAATATCTTTGTATACATTTTTTTTTATAAAAACAGATGTGTATATATTTATGTACTTAATAAATACATATTTTTATAAATAAGTATTTCGTATACAAAAAAGTTTATTTTTTAAGTTTTTATATAGAAAATATAAAATTTTTTATACGGAAATATGTTTTTATGTATAAATATGGTTTTATAAATAAAAAACTTATTATAAAATGTTGAGAAAAAAAAGTTGTAAACAAAACAAAAGTTAGGACGAATTCATACCAAAATTCTAAAATTTAGGCCAAAAGGGTAAAGTTTGGACCAAGTTTGTAATAAAATTTAAAATCTAGACAAAAAGTGTAAATTTTGGACCAATTTTGTAATAAATTTTGACATCTGGGCCAAAAATGTAATTTTTGAAAGTTGGATGACCGGATAAAAGGGTTAAATTGAATATGTTTACCGGTTTTTATGACTTAATTGAATAATATATATATATATATATATATATATATATATATATATATATATATATATATATATATATTATATATATATATATATATATATATACTGCATAAAGTATTTATATATTGACATTATAATCGATTTAGTTCTTATATATATATATATATATATATATATATATATATATATATATATATATATATATATTCAATCTAAGTATTGTGTTATTGTATACATAATTGTGGGTCAATCATTTTACTTAATTTTGGAAAGTGAATAATACATATTATTAAATTAAATATAATTAAAAAATACCAACTAATTTCATTCTAAGGGTATTTTAGTCAATTAACATAAATTTAAAAAAGGAAAATTACATATTTTAAGGAAAATAGATTCTATTAATTTTAAAAATCTGATTGTATGGATGATAATTCTCCTAATTCAAAAATTCTGACGGAATATGTTTATCAATATATTGAAAAATAACAAATATGATTGAACCATACAATAATTACACATTCTGACATAATATATATTTTGATTTAATGAACTTCTTGAAGAATAACAAAATTTTGGATACAAGTTAAAATTTTTTTTATTACATTCTTAAAAAAGAGAAAAAAAATATATACTATTGTATGCGAATGGTACACTTATTAATAACACAAAAAACACAATATATGAATCATTATACCAGAATATACTACTAGATATATATCTTTTCATTATATTGTATATTATTCTGGTAGAATAATCCATTCTTTTTGGAAGATTGGTGGTCATTGTTCATCTTTATCCCATACAATGTTCATCTTCAAAATTCTATTCTCACAGAATCAGAATTCAAGATTCCATTCCAGTAGAATGTTGTAAGTTTCATATGTACCATGTTTTGCTTTGATATCTCTCGTTTCGTACCTACAAAAATAATGGTATTCAACACTTGATCATTATAAACCAACAACATAAGATAAAATTCAAGCATAAAGAAGCAAACCAAAATAAAGTCACACAAAACCCATTAAAGAGAAATGGATTCGTGATTCCACAAGAAACTATGTAGATGAAAAGGATACATCTCAATTAAACTAAAAAACATTCCAAATACACCAAGCATTGCTAATACTTCAAGTTGACATAAAATGTATATATAATGTCTATATGCTATTATATGAGGGTATAAATGGAAGAAATATGACATAAATTCCAATACCAAGGAATCTACAAAATTTTCCCAAATTATATTTTGTTGTTTATACTTAATTATCAACTGCAAAGATATAACCAAGAATTAACTTAAGAATGAACTCAAGTTTCAAACTAAGAGTAAAGGAAGGTGACACTACAATGAGTTCATGGTGCTTATATAACAAGATGCTTCCATAGATCAAGGTTAAAGCCAGATAACCTAAAAGTCCTAGAGTTACAGGCGAATTAGCACCTATTGAAAAACAAAGAAAGGAGGTCAATCACTCAATCAAGTTTAAAAATTATTGCAATTTCATAAGTGCTTGTTGTGCCATTATTTAATATTCTAACTAGATCAAACTTGGCAAAAGCTCTAGGATTAGCAACGAGATTCAGTCAGATTCTCATTGTAATATACGTTGACTTATATAAAACCAGATTCAAACTAAGAGTAAAGAAATTTCATTTTGTCTCATTCGACCAGTGAATATGGTCCACCTAAACAATGAAATTGCAGAGAAATATCAAGTGAATCATAGATTGAATAAATATCAATAAATCACAATGCTTTGAAAATCAAAATTAAAGAGTTGACCTCTCGATGCTTAGAAAATCAGAATGCAAAAGCAAAGGGTTGAAGCAGAGTTAAGAACAGTAGGGTTGAACAAACCATCACACACATACAGCAAATCGAACCCTAAGGTGCAATAGAATTGAAGTAAACTCGTTAAAAAAATCGAACTGATGGAAGATTATGGTTCAAAAATCGAACCTTTGATAGAAATCGAAGATCTTACCTGTGATGGAATCGCCGACTGGAGTGGAGTTGCCGGCTGTGTATACGCCGGAGATGAAAGCCTTGCGGGAGATGGGTGTCGTCGCGTGGATGCCGGCGGGATAGCCGGAGGTGAGCAGTCGACTAAGGGTCGTCTCGTGTGGCCGGAGGTAAGCAGCGTGGAGGAAGCACCAGTGGTGAGCAGCGGAAGTGACCAGCACCATCTTTGCCCGATCAAAAGGAACACGGGTTTAAAAGCCCTAATCTTTTAAGTGGATCCACTCAAAGCAAAGACACCCTTATTTATTTAGGTTATAAATCAATACCATTATTATAGGGGATTATTTTTGGAAGTTACTAAACAAATTACTAAATTACCCTTATTTATTTATTTAATTATTTAATTTTGATTGGCCCACATTGATGCATACAATAACACAATACTTACTTTAAACATTTGAACCTATCTCTCTCTCTCTCTCTCTCTATATATATATATATATATATATATATATATATATATATATACAACCCTTTTTTTTTCTTTCTTTCTTACTTGTATTGAAGTGTAGCAGTACTCACGAAACCTTACACTTACGATGCATGGGGGCGGTGTCCGTCCTTCTTTTATGCGTATGCCAAGTCACCTTACATTGCACAATCTCAAACACTCTGTATAGCCTAAGGTCATCCGGTATGGGTCTCTCAACTTCGTTGAGAGATCGAACTAGAGCCCCTCAACGACATTGAGGGTTGATGAACACCACTCCACCTTGGCATTGTGTTGAAGCTCATTGCTTGCTCGATGTATCTCATTGCCGATGGTGAAGAGAGAAGGATTTATTTTTTTTTTAATTATTTTAACCAATAAAAACATAGTATGTGGTGTGAAATTTTCCTAACAAAATGAAATGATATTAACCTAAGGCTGCTCGGCATGGACAACGGTAGTAACAATGTCATATCATAAAGAAGAAAAGAAGATGCCTGAATGCAATTGTGGGGATGATGTTTGTCCATGAACACGACGTCATGAATCATGATCGGCCAAAGAAAAATGATTGTTACTCTCAAAATGTGTAGTTGCCTTTAGGCTAAACGGAGTGGGGGTGTCAAACCCACTCGCTATGCTCGCCATCGATCCAGGAACACCGCCCCTAGCTCTCGCCAGGGGGGTCGCTATCCATGCCTCGTTACAAATTTGGCGAGAAGAGAGAGAAGGTGAGGGAGGAATTTGATTGGTAAAAAATCCCCCAAATCTCCATCACAAAACCCCACAGAGTCATCTTCATCCAGGTAATCCCGAATTTCAATTACTCAACACTTCGATTACACTTTAATTTGATAGTTTTTGTATGTGGGAAATCATGAACCTTCAGGCGAAGCTTGCTTTAACAATGGCAGCCGGGAGATTTAGGGTTTTCAGAAAACGATCAATTGGCACCTCGTTCATCTTCACCAAGAATCAATAACTTGATGTAATTTCATGTGGTGCTGGAACGAGTTGGAAAACGAGTGTGAAGGTGCTGCGGGATTTAGAATTTTCAGGAAAAAAAACAAAAAAAAGAGAAAAAAAAAGAGAAACATGAAGCTCTAGTTGGTGTGTGAGGCTATCATGATATCAATGGTGAAGGTGAATGAAGATTGAGAATTAAAAGGAGAAAGAAAAAGAGAACGTTTTGTGTGTATCTGTTGAGCCGAAGAGCACCTGCTAGAGAAGATGGGTCTTGATATCTTGAGGATTCCATATGGGTTTAATTTGTGATGGTGAAAAGTGGAAAAGAAACACACTGTGTGGCGTTAAATTTTTTTTTTTATGTCATATTAATTAAATTAAAAATATATTTGTGTAATATTAAAAAAAATGTTTGTTTAATAAAATAAAGTAATTAGATTAAATTAGAAAAAGAAAATAAAAAAAATAGAATGTTAGGAGTGTTACCACTCCTTACCAAATGTTTAAATTAGGTGTTAAATTGAAAAAGATAAGATGACATTAAAAAAGCTGACATGACAAGGTGTTAGAAGTGTTACCATTAATTACTGTCACCTGGTAAATGACATGAAACCCAAAAACATGAATTAGTTACTGTCACCTTGGGAAATGACATGACACCCAAAAACATGAAGCGGGGGCGATGTTTGGACCGTGGTAACAGCAATTTCTGACGACATGTCACGGATAAGTCTAAAGGCTTACACTTGGAAAGAGGCAACGAGCCATTGGAAAGAGGCAACTTTAACTTCGCTTCCAGTTCCAACACCTCTTACTTATTTTCCGTTCTCCCTTCTATCTCTCTCTTCCGGCGAACCCTCCAAAGTCTCGAAACTACCACTTATGGCAGCTCCAGTGGCTGAAGAAGACAGCTTAGCAGTAGAACTTTCCGATCCCCCTCTTGCAAAAAACTACTTGGGAAGCCCCAATTCTGCAGAAGACTACAGTATTTTCGCTCATTTGACGAAAACCTCTAATACTCGGCATAATGATCCAGATGCTCCTTCATCGGTACCTCTCATCTCCTCTCTCGTTGAATGGTCATCTTCAATTTTCAATGTCTGCTGGAAATCAGTTAGTTAACACTGGATATGGTTGTGTTTCGACAGTCTAAACGGATAAAGTCGAAGTCGATTAGATTTGAGGTCTCTCCAACTGAAGTACAGACGGAACATCCGCCTCCGAAGATGAACATCGTAAGAAGTTGCTTGAGTTTTACACTCTAGATAACATGCTACAATTTATCTTGTTTTGATAATACCTAAATTGGACCCGAGAAAATTTGGGGAAAAAGGAAAATATCTTGACTTTTGTTGAAAAAATACCCATTCATAGCTGTCTCGGTTTATTTTCTTTACTTTCTCTCTGTTTTTAAACATAAATTTCTCTACTTGCCTATCCATTTAGCTATGAATACAACGCATATTAGTGTTTAGGGTTTTAGGGTTCATATGTAAATGAAATTCAACCATTCTTTCTACATATAGCATCAAGTTCACATTTTTTGATTTCATCAACAGCCAGTAAGCAAGACTTCAAGCCCATCTCTGAGGTCAGTTTTGCTTTGCAATTCTTTTTTCTTGTTCTATACAACCATAAAATGATTATTACCGATTTCACATCCAGTTTGAAGAAAGTAAAGTCTTCTACCAAAAGCTCCAAATCTCCAACTCCAACTTCACCTGCAATGATTCTTGCAACTGAGTTTCAATCAAGCCTTGGAACAGAGTTTCCTAGCTGTGTAAAGCTGATGGGTAGATCACAAGTCACCCAAGGTTTCTGGATGGTATTGCCTCTTTCTTTAACTAACGAACAAAATATGATAACAATAAACTTACCCCCTATCCCCCCCCCCACCCCACCCCACCCCTAGGGCCTTCCAACACCATTTTGTAGGTCATTTATGCCAAAAGAAGAAACTACATTTGTACTTGAAGATGAAAGTGGGAAGAAATGGGAAGTCAAATATATCGCATACAAAAATGGGATTAGTGCAGGGTGGAAAAGTTTTGTGGTTGAACATCACTTGATTGAAGGAGATGTTTTGGTGTTTCATTTAATTGATGCTTTCAAGTTTAAGGTAACATACGATTCCATGATCTTATTTAACAACATTCTTAACAGATTGAAAATATAAACAATCATTCATATTCATAACATACATGTGTAATCTCAATTCATGTTTTTTTTGTAGGTTTACATAATAAAAGCAAGTGAATCGAATGAAGTTGATGGTGCTCTTAGCCTTTTGAATTTGGAGGCCCAAAATGATGAAAACCCTCCAGGTAAATAATCGTTTACTAATACAAAATTTACATTTTTACTTAAATTTCAATCTCCCATTTTTGATTAATTACATTTTAAACTACATTGTTGTAATAAACAGTTACTCCATCACCTAAACCAAAGAAACGTAAGCACCCGAAGAAGCTTTCTTTAACCATGGTAAAAGAGAAGCATAAAAAGTCAACCCCTTTATTAGTCAAAGCTATTGAAATTTTAGAACATTCCGGAACCAACAATGAAGATATTAGGCCAGAAGTTCTAGAACCTTCCACCACACCCTTCCAAGACCTCGAACACTTTCGCATCAAAGTCAACGGTCAATGCATTGACTCTGAGCTTTCGGAAGAAGTCAAACTAGGTTACTACAAATTATGCATTCACAAAAAACAATTCCTCCACGATGGTGTTCACAAAAATCTATATCACAAACTTGTAGCAGGCATGATTGGTGAAACTGTAAATATTGCAAAAGAGATCAAGAACTGCAAGCTCACGATAAGTAAGGAGGAGCTCGAAGCGTGGGATAATACCTTGAAGTCTTTTGAGATTTTGGGGATGAAAGTTGGGTTTTTGAGGGATAAAATACGTACGCTTGTGGGACTTGTTTTTGAGTCGGAATTTGGGGTGGATTTGAAAAGATATGTGGAGGCGAAAAAGAATGAGAAATTAATTGAAGATGAGATTGTTAAAGTTAAAGCGAAACTTTTGGAGTTAAAGATAAAGGCCAAAGGGCTTTTGGGGTGTTTGAAAGAGAAGGCCGAGAAATATATGATTGAGTTTCAGGATGAGGTTGATGTGCCGTGGTAGGAATTTCACAATGTTAACTAGGGATGTTCAATAAACTACATGAACCGTCCGCACTGCATAATGCGGTTTAATACTTTCGTGGTGCGGTTTGCGGTTCGTAAATTTGTTTATAATGTGGATGAATATCTATTGTATGAACATGTGTGGACAGTGCTATTCTATGAGAATGACTAAGAGAATAGGTTGTTTAGTAACGTGAATACGTTCAACGTCACACAACTATCGTCATTATCATGTATTCTCACTATTTTTTATTCATTTTTGTTCTCACATATCGTTTTTTTACTCATTTTTATTCTTACAGAATACGATTATCAATAACATATCTTGACAACACCGACAAAATGTTGTATCATAAAAAAAGTCTATAAACTGCACTATGTGGTGCGGTTTGCGGTTTTTAATTACAAAGCCGCGTGTCTAAACTGTACCGCATTATATATATATATATATATATATATATATATATATATATATATATATATATATAAAATACGTTATAATTATAAAATAGCGTTGATAAGCAAGCTCATGATTTAAGATTGACAATTCCAAAGTTACTTCTCATGAATTAAGGTTGACAATTCCAAAGTTACTTCTCATGAATTAAGGTTGACAATTCCAAAGTTACTTCATATGCACCAGAGGGTAATCTATAGATAAGTTATAAGAATGTTGCATAAAACTCTCATGACGAGGGTAATGGTGTATAGATAAGTTTTATATCGCTTTAAACAATATAAAACGCCACATTAAACCACACCGTAAAATGTGGTTTAGAATTCTCACGGTGCGGTTTATAGTTCCAGAAATGTCAAATCACATATATGGTGAGGTTTGCGGTTTTTGCTCTAAATTGTACCGCCAACACCCATAAATTGTTAACCATGAAATTAATTAAATAAATTAAAAAAGAACATGTCAAAATTCTTGAAAAATAATTGGCAATAGTGTGTTGGGGATTAAACACTTCAAACAAACTTTATATACGATTTTTTACGGAGTAATAAAAAAGCAAAACGAAAACAAAACACAATAAGTGTATATGGTCTACACGATCATAATGAGCGGCTGCGTGCACCAACGAACACACGATGGAGAAATTTTATTATTTATGTTTTAAAAACTTCAATCGTACAATGATTACCTAGGTCACATGAATTCATGGAATATGTATGTGTGTGCGTGCGTGTGTGTGACTTAAAACTACTAGTAAAACCAAACCTAGAAAACACCGATGAAATTGGCTTATGATAAAATCTAGCTTTAACAACTAAAAAAATTATTCTCGAAGGGGAAGGGGTTGTCCCTGACCTCCGCCGGTTTTTTGCTAGCGGGACCCATGTGTGGCTTGACTATCAGTTATAGGGTCGAATGATGAATTAGTCTCCACAACTTAATAATCTCCCACTTGGAGGCTGGTGAACATATTTGCTACCATCAAATCTAGAACATTGTAACCTCCATCCCTCTTTTTAGTCTGCGTCTTCTCATCAAGTACCTGAAGTTCAGTTGATGCCATACACAGTTTCAACTTCTCCGTACTCACCACCTTGTTAAACATATATGTTGGATTCTTTCTACCAAATATTTTCTTCAGATTAAGAGTTCCATCACTTATCAGTTTGCGAATGAAGTGCGACATCATCTGAATGTGTTTCGTATTACTGTAAAACAACAATTTCTTTGCTAAGTGGATTGTATTCTGCATTCTGGTTGTCACAATACAGTATGCAATCTTCCTATTGCATCTCAAATTATGATAAGTTCTTCGGTTATATAAACTTCTTCCTTGCTTCTGCATTTTCTATGGACTACACTTTTATGGTTAAAGGATCAACACTCTTTTGTAACATAGACATCCAACTGATTGTCGTACACTCGATTGTGAACACATACATGATAGTGTTTTTTCCTTAATCCATGCAACCCCCCAACTGAGTATCAACAAAACCTTCCAAGACTACCTATATTCTTTTGAAGCATATAGTATGAAATATACCTTGGGAAATCGTATGATGTGTCGTTTCAAGTAAATCGGACATCATACAAAGATGGGTATTACCTTATCGATGGAATATATCCCGAGTTAGCAGTATTTGTGAAATCATTTTCATGTATAAATGATGACAAATGGTTATCGTTTAAGGCGGCGCAAGAATCTACTAGGAAGGATATCGAGCGAGCATTTGGTGTTCTAAATAGATGTTGGCAGATACTTGTAGTAACGACATGTTCTATGGAGCACAGACGAATAAGTAGTCTAATGTACGCATGTATCATATTGCATAATATGATTTTGGAGGATGAGGGAAAGATGATTTGCCGCTACAATGAAAATAAGAACTTACCAAATGTTGAAGGAGTTGGTATTGGTACGGAGGTATACATGGCAAAAAGAGGGGAAGTATACAATTGAGTTGGATACCACAACTTTCACGTTGATTTGGTGGAACACATCTTCAATGCTCGAACGAATCTCGATGTCGACGATTTTGTTGAAGACGACTTGTTCGATGATACATATGACGAATTGTGACAACTGTCAATTTTGGGTCAAACAAAGTCAACAAGTCAACCAAGTCAACTCGACTAGTATTAGGATTTTAGGATAAGTGCTATGTTTCCTAATGTTCCTAATGTACAACTTACATGTATTAATACAAAGTACCTCTCATTTCACCAATTATCAAATATAAACCCTAATTAGGGTTAGTAACGTAACAACTCGACAATTCAACTATATAGTTGAATTCATAAACCTAACACCACGTGGCAAATTCATAGCAAATGCTACAAACACAATTTTTTTGGTGAATTCGTCACCAAATGCGACAAAGTCTATACCCGGCTAAACACCAAATTTTAACGAAACGAACTTGGAAATTCAACCTAACTATTCATGTAACGTATTATTATTTGATAACAATGTTCGTTATAATAATTTGAATTTTTCTAATTCAAATTAAATATTTTATACATCCTTTATACCATATTTATTTTATAAAACACCACAATTTCTATAAAAATATCACTCTTTAATAAAAAGATGTCAACTTTGTTATAAAAATAAAGCTAGTTGACTTTTGCTTTTATAAAAAGCTAAGAGAGACAAAGTTGTCTCACATTTTTCCCACAAAACCTTACACTTCACCCTTATTCATTACCACCCCTCATAACTCTCTCTACCCACCCTTTTTCCCTCTATCTCTTTAAGTTACGACCACAAGGCCATTTCCCTTCACTATTTCTTCATCTTTTGTTCTTCTTCTCCAAGAAAGGCTCTCAACTTCCAACCCTAATTTCTCCCAAGTTGATTCTTGAACTTTTGGTAAGTACTTCCTTCGTGATCTAGTGATTCTACACACATATATGCTAGTTTCAATCCATTTACACACATTATCATGTGTTACTATTCATAGGATCTTCAAATCTTCAAAGTGTTGTTCAAGTGTTCTTGACTTGAAACTTTCCATCTACAACCTTCCATTCACCAAGAAAACACACATAAGGTGAGTTTCATACCCCTTCATTTTCGAGATTTCTAAGTTTTAGGGTGAGAATACAAGTAAAATACAAGTAAACTCGTGAAAATATACAAGTTGTTATGCATATTTTCTTACATGAAGTGTAAAAGTGCTAAATATATGAAATTATGTTACTACTAAGATTTATGAACATTTAGATGCAAAAGTTTGTTTAAAATACAAAACTATGAAAAACAAGTATAAACTTAATATATTTTCTTAAGAAAAAGTCATAAACACAAAACTATACAAACTAGGATTTTTATGAACATAATAAGACTTTTGTAGAAAAAATGGTTATAACCAAGTTATTACACCATTTTTGTGGGATATAAACCAAAATATGTTATTTGGAACATATTTTCTTGGAACTAGTTAAAAATACCAAAGATTTAGTTTTACAAAAAGAAAACTTAAAAATCTATCGTTTTATGTAAAAGTGGGTTTTCTAACAAAAAATGGTCATAACTAGGTTATGGTACTATTTTTGTGGGTTTTGACCAAAAATATGTTGTTTAAAACATATAAAGTTAACTTGACCTAAAAATCACAAAAAGGTAAAAAAAAATAAGTTTTACATAACTATATTTCACTATTTTTGTGACGTTAAAAGTCAAAAACTAGAAAAATGGACATTTTCATACTAAGGACTCACTTATTTGTGCTAGATGTAAAATACTTGTTATTTATGAATATCTAAGCATGCTAGCCTCTATACATAGGTACAAAAATCAAATATTATAATAAACTATATAAGTATAGTTTATGGATCATTAACACTATTGTAACATGTTGAGTAAAGTGGATAATTATATAAAGACATATATGATTATTTTATACTATTTTATTATCATGGAAAGGTGATAATTATACATACAAATGTTTTTATTACAACAAAACATTTATGATAAACTATAATGGGTATAGTTTATTGGTCATCAACACTATTTTACTATTTTGGGGCGAACAAATAATTATTTAAAGGTATAATTATTCTACACTATGTAATTACTATGGAAAGGTAATATTTCCACTTACAAAAGGGTTTTCATTACACTATACGTAAACGCGTTGAATCAATTTTGTAAGACAAAGTGTGACATCCCCTAATTTCTCGGCCAGAAAAGACCGATTTAATTTATGCTTTTAAAATAAGGTCAGAGTAATCCTTTTAAGAGATGTTGCGGAATTTGTCCCCAAAACAAAACATGATAAAATTTATCAAAACCTTTCTTTAAGAAATATATATTTTCATTTTATATCAAAACCTAGGGATGTCATGTTCCGATATAGATCAAAAGCATAAACAAGACATTATAAGCCTTACACCAGTTATTTACAACTACTGACCTATAATCCAAAAAAATCTCTCATCATCATCCGACTATGCTCGGGGTCCACTACCTGTAATATAAAAAGATGAGTGGGTCAGGCTTGGGAGCCTGGTGAGCATATAGGGTTTCCAACCCACAA